CATGAAACTATTATGGTTGAAAGTTGAAAGTTGAAAATTTGACTTAATTATTACTCCTGAGAAATAGGGTTTCCCTACTCTATTTCTCTCATCCTTTGTTGTTCAATTCTGAGTCGTGTTATCAAAGTACGGAATATATTAGGTGAGCCAGAGTCCGAAGATTGCAGTGCTTTGACTTCGGATTATATATTGTTAAATCCTGGGAGACGAACGCCTACCAAATTAAAAGTACACGAGTAGAAGAGAAATTTTGTCTTTAAGACATTGCATTTATGCAAGCCTCATTCTCTAAGTTTGTCAATCTTTCTTACTTTTTCTCTACGTTGTTTACACAATTGATATTGTGATTTTCTTTATGATTATTATCATTGAAATTCTTTTATTATTCTCATATTTTCTAATGTTACTCCAACAAATTAGACTATTACTAAGCATTTCTTTTAACCTTTATTCAATATATACGAGTACTACATTGTAGACTTGGCATTGGTGTCGTGTTTTCCGTGTTCGTGTCATTTTCGTGTCATACCCGATATCTTAACGGGTCATGTCGTGTAACACCCCTTAAAATAAACGGGTAAAATGACCCGACCCGAAATCGACCCGATAATATTAACAGGTAATATGACCCAACCCGTTACCCGTTAAGGAAAATATATTTTAAACCAATAAATAATCAAATGAAAAACATAATACTAAATAAGTATATACATTCCATATTATCACATCCAAAACGTAAAAACACAATTTTGTTTTTAAGTATATTTTCGCTTACCTAAAGTCTTTAATAGTTTTTTAATTAATGTAGAAGTGTAAAAAAATATAGAAAAAAATATATAAACACTCGTAATGACAAGCTTTATAACTTTCATGAAGTGCTTAACTTCGAAATTCGCCGCTATAATCATATAAATCATAGATCAAAATTTAACCGTTGATTGTTGTTTACATTTATGCTTCATTATTCTCATCAACTTTCGTTTTTTTATATTTTCTTTTTTGAAAACATGATCTATTAGAGGGTGCAGGTAGATGAATGGTTTGGATCGTTGATATTATATTTAAAGTTTTACGGTTAGCGAAAATATTGCTTGATGTTTATAAAGTTTCTACAAATTATATGACATTGACTCATATTTCAGTTAACCGTAAATATCGAAACGTGATATCATCTTCTTACATCCGCCAGATGATCATGTTTTCAAAAAATAAAATTTTAAAAATGAAATTCAATAAGAAGAATAAAGCGTAAATGACAATCGACGGTTAAATAAATTTAAGGTTTCACTACTACAAAATTATCTATTGCTGGCGGTCCAAAAACTTTTTTCAACGAGACAACCGTCAAACTTATTTGTACAAATTCCAAGATTGCATACGTAAAAAATCGTAAAAAACAAACATTCAAAGATTACGTAACGAAACAAAAGTTATCGACAGTTATAAACGAAAAATCACAATTTAACGGTTATTTTAGCTCTGATTTTGATGATTTTTTACAGATACACTCCTCGACCCTATAAGAATGTAATGAATAAATTTGATCTTTAATTTAAAGTATTTACACTAGTGGATACCACAAAAACTTATTTTATACTTAATAGAAGTATAATATTAACTCTAAGTGTTTATTTAATCTACCGTTTTGACGCAATATGCATTCTACGAAACTTTTTTCAACGATCCAACCGTCAAACTTATTTGTACACATTCCGAGATCACATACGTAAAAAATCGTAAAAAACAAACATTCAGAAATTACGTACTGGAACAAAAGTTTTCGACAGTTATAAACGAAAAATCACAATTTAACGGTTATTTTATCTCCAATTTTGATGATTTTTTACAGATAGACTCCTCGACCTATAAGAATGTAATGAATAAATTTGATCTTTAATTTAAAGTATTTACACTAGTGGATACCACAAAAACTTATTTTATACTTAATAGAAGTATAATATTAATTCTAAGTGTTTGTTTAATCTACTGTTTTGACGCAATATGCATTTTACAAAACTTTTTTCAACGATCTAACCGTCAAACTTATTTGTACACATTCCGAGATCGCATACGTAAAAAATCATAAAAAAAAAAAAACATTCAGAGATTGCGTAACGGAACAAAAGTTTTCGACGGTTATATACGAAAAATCACAATTTAACGGTTATTTGAGCTCCGATTTTGATGATTTTTTACAGATACACTCCTCGACCCTATAAGAATGTAATGAATAAATTTGATCTTTAATTTAAAGTATTTACACTGGTGGATACCACCAAAACTTTTTTTATACTTAATTGAAGTATAATATTAACTTTAAGTGTTTGTTTAATCTACTATTTTGACGCAATATGCATTCTACGAAACTTTTTTTAACGATCCAACCATCAAACTTATTTGTACACATTCGAGATTGCATATGTAAAAAATCGTAAAAAATAAACATTCAGAGATTATGTACTGGAACAAAAGTTTTCGACGATTATAAACGAAAAATCACAATTTAACGGTTATTTTAGCTCCAATTTTGATGATTTTTTACAGATACACTCCTCGACCCTATAAGAATGTAATGAATAAATTTGATCTTTAATTTAAAATATTTACACTAGTGGGTACCACAAAAACTTATTTTATACTTAATAGAAGTATAATATTAACTCTAAGTGTTTGTTTAATATACCGTTTTGACGCAATATGCATTCTATGAAACTTTTTTCAACGATTCAACCGTCAAACTTATTTGTACACATTCCGAGATTGCAAACATAACAAATCGTAAAAAACAAACATTCAGAGATTACATAAAGGAACAAAAGTTTTCGACGGTTATAAACTTAAAATCACAATTTAACGGTTATTTTAGCTTCGATTTTGATGATTTTGTACATATACACTCCTCGACCCTATAAGAATGTAATGAATAAATTTGATCTTTAATTTAAAGCATTTACATTTTTTTATATATTAGTGATTGTATATATTATTTTTTTTACATTGTTTACACTTCTACAATAATTATTATTAATTTTATTAATTTTTCCCTCAAATAAAAAACATTATTCATGAGGGTTTGAAGGATTTTAAAAATCTAAACGATAATATAAGTGTAACAATTATCTATTCGTGGAGGAATAATGATAAATCACGAGTGTTTATATATTCTTTCACATTTTTCATACTTGTATGTATGTCTTCTTAGTTCTTGCATATACAAATACTATACTAGTATATTTTAATTTTGGACAAGAATATGTTATGTAAAATTTATCCTAGTAATGATAATAAGGAACTCTCATAATAAAAATAAATAATGACTAAAACTTTATTTTTTATTTTTTTATAATTTATATAGAACAATAATACAAAACTATATATTTAATATAGAATATATTGTATATATTAATATGACTATTGTATTTTATAATAAATCTTTTAGTAATTAAACTTTAAAATTATTAAAATAATTTTTTTCTTAACGGGTCGAAATGGGTTACCCACGTGTTAACTACGTGTATACCTGTTAAGAAGCCGTTATTAATGGGTTCTTAACGGGTCACCTGATAGTGACCCAATAAGTTATCGTGTTAACCCAAAACCTGTTATTTTCGTGTCATTTTAGTGTCGTGTCACCGTGTCGTGTCAAAAACTGCCAGGTCTACTACATTGGACGTAGCCCAATCTTTAGAGATAAACCCCTCAATCTTTGTTGTCAAGTTCTTATAGATTTGGGAACTTTAACGAAAAACACATGGTACTGTTCACTTTAACGAAAAACCACATTTTTACACTAAAAAGTCAATCCTGGTACTATTCACTTTACCCTTTATTTTGTCCTTATCATTAAAACTCAAAGTTTTCAAGCCATTTTCATTAGTTTTCCTTAGATTTTATCCCAACTTCACCAAAGGTTGACCATACCAATCTTTGTTGACTTCCCAGTTAAGAACGTTAACAGTGGTATATCCTCATACGTGAAAAGGAGGTGTGGGCACGTGTGATTGCTTTCCAATTCCATAAATTCAAAGGATTGTGAAGATGGACATGGTGAGCAGCACAATTCAAATAGGTTTGGGATTCTTTATAACATATATGGACATGCGTGTGGGTTGATGTTGCGTGAAAGCAAGATGGCGTTTGAAAATTTATGCAAATATATCTGCTTAACTGGTTAACATTAGTCAAGAAAGAGAATTCAAGGTTATCATGAAAAAGCCGGCAGATATATCCTCCAATAAAGTTGCGTCAATACAAACAAACAGAGTTCTTCGAGGGTTAAATACAAAGCACCATGCAACATAAAAATGACATTAACTCAACACACAAATTAACTCTATACATGAAATTCTCTCACACTTCTGAAGAAAAAAAAACACTAATTGCTCTACTAACATGTCAACATATATTCAATTTAGTTAAATATCACTGGGTTGACAAACTGGTGAAAATTCAATTTGGTTAAATATAAATGGAGTCGTAGAATCAATTCGGTCCAAGAGTTTCTTCAGTTTGGTTAAACAACACTTACCCTTCTTTCGACTGGTTACATATCTAAGTCTTTGCTGGCGAGGAGTCTTTGATTCTCTTGTTAAATGAGGTCACTTTATTAGCTTGCTCAGAAAAGTGAGGTGTTACCCGTGTTAGTGTACTGCACATTGAAAGCCGAACCATTATTGAACTTCACAGCAAAAGATATAACCTTGTATTCAAGTTAACATAACTCTCAACCGTAATCACTTAGTACAGAAGTCAACATTGCATTTCACCATTACTTCACATCCATATATTAGCCTGATCGAGCTAGGTTACGAATTAGCACGCCCGCATCAACAGTCAACCACAAAAGAACATAATTAGCTTAATAGTTACCCAACCTGTGCACCAAGTAGACTCTGTAATTTTTAGGTCCAACAATAACAAAACCAAAAGTTAATAGAGGAATTGGAAAAAATGAGAAGAAAGAGTGAAAGGGAATATGACAACACATAAGAATTTGTCAATTAAATATCAAAATCAAAACACGATCAAGTGATAAATGGATAGGTTAAATATTCCTTTACAAGAAAAATTTCACAGGAAAAAATGTGACAATTAATAATAGCCCAAAGTCAAAAGGCTAGAAACCAATTAAGGAGGAAAAAATAATAATAATAAGGGGTGAAAAAATAAAAATAAAAATAAAAAACCAAAAAACAAAAGGGGTCAAGGAACAAATAAAAAAAAAGCTAATTCCAAGACGCATGTACAAAAACTTCAACTGGATATAGAATTGACATCCTCAAAGACTTGTCTGATGTTAGGCCTCTCATTTACAGGTAGAATACACCTGAGCGATATTGCTAGCAATTCATCCATTGCTTTCGAGGGTTCTTCCCCACCAGCAATGTCTCTGTCAATGCAATCCATTCCTCGTCCTTCTCGATCACACAGCCGAACCCAGTCTGTGAGGTCAACCGCCCCCGACTGTCCCGATATAATGTCTCCTGCACTTCTTCTGGTTAACAATTCCATCAAAATCACCCCAAAAGCATACACATCAGCTTTGAAAGAAGGGACTGGTTTGGTTGCGGTGACAAGCTCTGGAGCACGGTATCCAAGTGCTCCCATAGTTAAAATCTGTTCGGCGATACCAGCAGGTGTCATCAGACGGTGAAGACTATAATCAGTTAGGTGAGCACTGTAATCAGGACCTGCCAGGAGCACATTACTTGGCTTTAGGTTCCCGTGGGGCAGGCCTCTATCATGTAGGTAAAGCAAACACTGAGCGACCTCCACAGCAACCTTTAGCCTCTGCTTGAACGATAATCGAGAGTACCTTCGAGGTGTGGTCTCTGCATAATACAGATGCATACTTGGAAAATAAGCGAAAAATTAAAATCAAGATTTAAGACATTAATATCTATGAAACCCTGAATACTGGCACAACATAGAAAATAACAACTGCTGCTTGCCAACATTTAGACACGCTCAGACAATTCGGAACAAAGGAAACAAGCTTTATCCAGAAGTCCACTCTCGTGAACATCAATCTGAGACAGAACAAGTGGAATCTAAAATAAAGGGCAGCATGACACACTAAACTTGTCTTCAAAAGCCTCAGTTCATTAAAAAGATTCTTGTTCCTTTTAATGTACGTATAATTTTAATTTTAATGTGCGTATATTATCATTTTAATGTACGTATTATTATCTTTCCATTTCCAAATAAATATACAAGAAATCAATTAACAATCAAGCCACCCAAGCACTTCAAAAGTTGAAAACAGATGACAATTATAAAACTCTCATGTTGAAACAAATTTCAGAAACCACCCCACCGATCTTATATCCGGAGCGGCAAAATCATAAGCACACTTATAATACCAATTTCCTTTTTTTTTTCACTTCCCAAAATGTACACCATTGACCAGTCCTATGACTCCTATCTGTTCCTCTTACGCTCACAGTTTGTATCAAGTTCAAGAGACTTATGATGTATCCTATTAGACTCAAAAAGTAAATTCCCAGAGTTGTTCATGCCTGACGGTAAAGGTATTCAGATGGGTCAGTTGTGGTTGCTATACGTTTCGGCAAGTACCTTTCACTGCCAACTAACGAAATATCAATGACTTGTTTGATAACGTTTGAACCATAGAGTGAAAGGGGATTGGGAATGCTAACCTTCTAATTTATTAACTCTTTCTCTTCGTTCAATACCATTCAGAGATGTGAATGTTTCAGAGACTACAAGCCTAATATTTAAAGTAAGCACAAGCTAAAATCTCTTATAAGCGTCAATCTAAGTCTGTCTGACACATGCCTTCATGTTTGAATCTTCATTTACATCCACAACAACAACAACAAAGCCTTTTCCCACTAAGTGGGGTCGGCTATATGAATTCTAGAACACCATTGCGCTCGGTTCTGTGATATGTCCTCCGTTAGATCCAAGTACTCTAAATCTTTTCTTAGGGTCTCTTCCAAAGTTTTCCTAGGTCTTCCTCTACCCCTTCGGCCCTGAACCTCTGTCCCGTAGTCACATCTTCGAACCGAAGCATCAGTAGGCCTTCTTTGCACATGTCCAAACCACCATAACCGGTTTTCTCTAATCTTTCCTTCAATTTTGGCTACTCCTACTTTACCTCGGATATCCTCATTTCTAATCTTATCATTTCTCGTGTGCCCACACATCCAACGAAGCATCCTCATCTCCGCTACACCCATTTTATGTACGTGTTGATGCTTCACCGCCCAACATTTTATGTCATACAGCATCGCCGGCCTTATTGTCGTCCTATAAAATTTTCCCTTGAGCTTCAGTGGCATACGGCGGTCACACAACACGCCGGATGCACTCTTCCACTTCATCCATCCAGCTTGTATTCTATGGTTGAGGTCTCCATCTAATTCTCCGCTCTTTTGCAAGATAGATCCTAGGTAGCGAAAGCGGTCGCTCTTTGGTATTTCCTGATCTCCTATCCTCACTCCTAACTCATTTTGGCCTTCATTTGCACTGAACTTGCACTCCATATATTCTGTCTTTGATGACGAAGATCTTTAGATTCCAACACTTCTCTCCAAAGGTTAAGCTTCGCATTTACCCGTTCCTGGATTTCACCTATCAACACTATATCGTCTGCGAAAAGCATACATCAAGGAATATCATCTTGAATATGTCATGTTAACTCATCCATTACCAATGCAAAAAGGTAAGGACTTAAGGATGAACCCTACAATTATAGGGAAGCTTTCGGTTTGTCCTTCATGAGTTCTTACGGCAGTCTTTGCTCCATCATACATATCCTTTATAGCTTGGATATATGCTACTCGTACTCCTTTCTTCTCTAAAATCCTCCAAAGAATGTCTCTTGGGACCCTATCATACACTTTTTCCAAATCTATAAAGACCATGTGTAAATCCTTTTTCCCATCTCTATATCTTTCCATCAATCTTCGTAAGAGATAGATTGCCTCCATGGTTGAGCACCCTGGCATGAACCCGAATTGGTTGTTCGAAACCCGTGTCTCTTGCCTCAATCTATGCTCAATGACTCTCTCCCAGAGCTTCATTGTATGACTCATTAGCTTAATACCCCTATAGTTCATGCAATTTTGTACGTCGCCCTTATTCTTGTAGATAGGCACCAAAATGCTCTTTCGCCACTCATTGACATCCCAAAATAAAAATTCACAAAAGCTTTCTATAATAGATAATAGTATTTAGTGTGGTCTTTTTGTAACAATGCATAAATTGAATTGTTTCTGATTGGTCCTTCAGTATAAAGAACGTTCAACAGTTGAAGGCAATATCGAATAAATAGCAGCCAGATGAAAAGGTCTAAATCACAAAGTAAGGAAAAACAATCATCTCGTCAGATTCATAACGGTTATCCTCATAACATCATTTTAACTTCGTAGTCCAATTACTCCTATGAAGTCAAACCAAAAGGGGATGGGCTCACGAGGAAGATTTTCCTCTAAAACCCTTTCCAAAATTAGGTACCACGTTGAATTTGAAAATGAGATTTACTAGGGATAAAAATAAAGAGCTCCGTCCAGCCATATGGGGAGAAGGTGAACAATCAGTCGGAGCTCTGATTGCTTACCTTGTCTGTCACCTCTTTCAGCAGACCCCCTAGCTCGGCGACTTGGGGGACTCCTACTACATGGTTTGTATCGCGCTTGACCAAGCCTGAAACTACAAGTAAGCTTCAAGTGAAATTGATACATTACCTTGTGCATCTCCACCAGTTAAAGATACCACCCCTGGATGGAGGAAGAGTACTTCCAGAGAAGATGTCACATCTACCTATGAGACAGATAAGGCAAGTCAAGACGACACCACACTCCGATACTTAGAAGTTTCGTGATTACGAGATCATTCTCCTACAATATTTCCTAATGTCATTTGTACTAAATCATTCACTTGTACTCACTAAAGGAGAGCTTGAACCTATGTACTTGTGTAAACCCTTCACAATTAATGAGAACTCTTCTATTCCGTGGACGTAGCCAATCTGGGTGAACCACGTACATCTTGTGTTTGCTTTCCTATCTCTATCCATTTATATACTTATCCACGCTAATGACCGGAAGCAATCTAGCGAAGATCACAAAAAGCGACCGTTTTCGCTACCTAGGATCTATCTTGCAAGAGAACGGAGAATTAGATGGAGATCTCAACCATAGAATACGAGCTGGATGGATGAAGTGTAAGAATGCATCCGGCGTGTTGTGTGACCGTCGTAGGCCACTGAAGCTCAAGGGAAAATTTTATAGGACGGCAATAAGGCCAGCGATGTTGTATGACACAGAATGTTGGACGGTGAAGCATCAACACGTACACAAAATGGGTGTAGCGGAGATGAGGATGCTTTGGTGTGTGGGCACAGACGGAAGGAAAGTAAGATTGGGACTGAGGATATCCGAGGTAAAGTAGGAGTAGCCGAAATTGTAGGAGAAAGAAGAGATGAAAATCGGCTCCGGTGATTCTTTGACAGAAAATGGTGCAAAGAAGGCCGAATGACGCCGGTTCGAAGATGTGACTACGGGACAGAGGTTCAGGCCGAAGGGTAGAGGAAGACCTAGGAAAACTTTGGAAAGACTCTAAGAAAAGACTTAGTTTAGACTTAGAGTTGGATCTTACGAGGACATACACAAAAAACCGAGCGCAATGGCGTTCTAGGATTCATATAGCCGACCCCACTTAGTGGGAAAAGGCTTTGTTGTTGTTGTTGTTGTTGTTGTTGTCCAGCCATAGCAGTTCTACAACAAGTTCTAGAAGTCCGAAAATTGGAGTTATCCGAATCTATAACCCTCTATGATAAAGAACCTGACATGAGTTTTCAAATTTCCCTTGACTCTATGCCAACAAAAAGTTACACTACAACCGTTTAAGAACCTCTTAGCATAAATGTCTACACCTCAACCTTTTACTTTGGATGATCTGCTAAGAATCAAATGGAACTATTTTGTTATAGGAGAGAGAGCCAAAAAATGAACCAACGGGCAGCAACTGAAAATATTCCCACTTACCATGTTCATAACAAGGAAGGAGAGTAGCATCACCCACAAGTAGGTGACAGAGCATAGCTCACACCCACACTTCCACCTCTTACCACATTGACTACAACAAATACAATCGAACTATTTTTACTATCATTTAGTGACTTTAAAATAGGAGAACAAAGTGAGAACATCCATAAATTTCTAGATGAAAGATAGGTTGAAGCCCAGCTGAATAGTATTAACTTAATTCTTTAGCTTAACAAAACAATTACATTGGTAACTTCTTGCCTAAGTGGCAATTTGATAACCAATTCACAGAAAAGTAATTTTGTGAGTTTAAGGTTTATTTCAGTAAATTGAAGAAATAAGTTTATGAGTAGCCCAATCCAGGCCAAAAAAAAAGTTGTTTAGTTATTGGTTGAACAAAACCTTCTAGAAAAATGTACCAGCTTTACCCCTATTTTAATTATGCCTAAGAGAAGAAATTCTTGTTGAGGACAAGTCCATCTCGTAAAGGAACAGATAATAGTTTCTTTCTAAGTGAAAGTAAGATAGAGGAGAGCAGCTTACCTTACCTAGACCCGAATCGGAGTAGCCCCTGATTGTATAAAATCTGGCCAAAAGGAAGCCTATTGTTCCTGAAACCCCAGTTGGTGAAGCAGGAATTGTCAGAACGTAGTCTCGTATGGGCAACCATTGAATCAGGCCAATATTAAAGAGCCAATTCTTAACTTCCTTGAGCAAGTCTTTCCTTGTGTTGACAACATCCCAAATGCCAAGACACCAGTTCAACAGTCAATTATTCATGACCTATCTAGAGTAGCTTTGTAAAGAAGTTCCGTGGCTGACTCTCCTAGAACTTCTGGTGAGCCTGAAAAATTGTTCAGTTGTGAAACAAAGAAAACCCACGAATAATCCTATCTAGAAAGTTCACCAAGCCACCAGAAGCCGTGTGAAGAACTATAACATGAAACCAAATTCACGGCTGTTTGCATATAACCAAGGAGAGAGGAAATCGAAAGGATAAATCCTAGAGAGTAGTGCAAACCGCCAGGTAAGCTGAGCAATTATGTTATTAAATCCTTCCTGATAAGACTTTGATTGTTTTCGAGGTTAATGGTGATTATGCGTCTGAGATCAATTTGAAAAAAAAATTGAACAAAGAATTGATTGCTATCTTTAACTAGATCTCTCCTGTAATTCTTTACCAACCCACTTCTCCAGCCCTGTGAAATATGTGTTTGGTGATAAGCCAAAAAAAACAAGAAAAATATCAATGCAAACAATCCAATGTGTAGCAACAGAAATGCTACGAAAGATGGGACCTCTTTAAGAAATGAACTTCCCTTATCCGAAACGACCACGGGACATGTTGTGCCTTACCAATTCTCTTGTTAAGTTAGCGTTGTATCGTTCCAAAACCAAATGAAGTCGAAATATAAATTTAAAACAGAAGGAGGATAGAAAATGGGGAACAGAACCAGATAGTGAACTAATATTTTATGGAAACATTAAATACACTTAGGCTGGATGGAAGCTTCTGAGGAATTCCACCTTCGAATTTGTTGTCTGATAAATCAAGGTACTCCAATTTACTAAGTTTGCTCAGTTCACTCGGCTGAAAATTTGTTGTCTTTGGTAAAGCAATTTGAGTTCCACCCTGTTCATTTAGCGGCGCCGTAAAGATGGGAGAGATCAGTCTCAATCGGCAAATCTGGAGGTAGAGATACATACATGCCACTTCAAGAGGAATTGGCCCAATTAAATGATTCCCTGAAAGATTCAGTCTCTTTAGGGTCGTTGAAGAGAGGAAACTTCCAGGAATGGACCCACTGAAATCATTTAGGCTCAAGTCAACTGTCGAGAGTCTAGGACAGGCCTTCAAGATTGAAGGTAAAGGACCAACTAATAAATTATCTCTTAGACTAAGCGTACTTAATTTCTCAAACTGTGATGTCAACTGTCGAAAGCTTCCATAAAACTTATTTGAACTCAAATCAAGCACTTCTAAAGCAGCCCCCAAATCCTGCACAATGGATATGTTACCTGAGATCTTATTTCCACTGAGATCCACCACTACACAACTCCTCATATCCACATTCTGCAATGTGCCAGACAAACCATTTGACGAAAGATTCAAGACTTTCAAAGTTGTAGAGTTAATTCCATGAATGGAACCTGTACACATAAATGGTGATAAATCAGAATGCAATGTTAAGTTCCAAAGGTTTCCGATTTCTTTGAAAACATACAAATATTGACAACAATAAACAGTCGAAATATACAGGATTAAAAACGGTGAGGCCATGGTTAGCAAAATGAGTGGTGGATAAGGTATACTTCAGATCTCTACTACGTTTAATGCATATGATGTTTTAGTGTTCATGAAAAACGTGAAAAAATTTACAGTTTGATGATTGAACTCAATCGATAGCACGACAGGACAAGATGGTGAATGAAGTTCAAGTCCATACCTGTCAAAGCATTGCCACTAAGATCCAATTCCTCCACTGTCATGGAACTCTCAAACAACTCCTCCGGTATTTCCCCAAACAACTGATTACTCCCGAGCCTCAAAACCCGCAAATTCGGCAACAACCCAAATGAAGGGAGCTTCCCTGTGATCTGGTTACCCTAAATCCAAAACTTGCAAGTTCCTAAACAACCCAATTGAATCAGACTTAAAAAACCCACCAGCAAGCTTATTGTAGCTCAAGTTCAAGTACCGCACTGTGTTGGATAAGCTCGAAACATTCTCCGAAGCAAGCGAAAGCCCTCCGAAAAACTCGTTCCTGCTCAAGTCAACGTATTCCACATTGTGCAATCGCGAGAACAAATCAGCAATGTCGCCCCACAGCTGATTGGAATGCAAATCCAACACTTTGAGCTGATTGAGATTCCACAACCGATCCGGAAACCCGCCTTTGAAGTGATTGGCAGACAGGTTGAGATAATTCAAGCCCCACAAGTCGTATATCCGGGCCGGGATCGGGCCGTAGAAGCGGTTCCCAGATAGATCCAGGTGCTGGAGAGATGACATTGTGCCGAGAATCGGCGGGACCCGACCCGTGAAGTCGTTGTTAGAAAGGGTGAGGTTTTGCAATGCAGTGAGTCCAGTGAGAGTGTTGAACTTGAGCTCGCCGCCGAGGGCAAGATGGTCGAGAGCTAAGGCAACGACATTGCCGGTGGTGTCGCAGAAAACGCCAGTCCAGGGAGGGCAAGAGTGAGTGTTGGAGAGGGAGCTAAGGGTCCATGAGTCAAGGACTTTCCGGAGCGGGTCGGTTTGGATCCCTTTCTTGAATTCGTAAAGGGATCGGAGCTCCGAGTCGGAGGCGGAGGAAGCGGAGAGGATTACAAGGGAGAAGAAGTAGAGAGAGAGAGTGAGATTGTTCATTGTAGCCAGAAAAACCTTAATCATTCATTGGACAAAGCTTAAGACTTGAAGACTGGGCGAGAGAGAGAGAGAGAGAGAAATGGGGGAGATTTCAAAACCCTAGATTGAGATTTGAGAGGAAAATTAAGACAGGAGGAGAGAGAGAAGGAGGAGAGAGAGGAGGGTGTACTGCGTAGGGTTTTTTTTTTTTTAATTATTTGGTTTTCTAGGGTTGAGAGGAAAATTCCGTTAAACATGGCGGTTTGGCAGGTGGAGAGTGGTGGTTGGTGAGGGTGAGTGACTACAGTCTGTAAAGGGGGAACAAGGCTACTTAGGGTCAAAAAGACTAAAACATCCTTCAGTAATAAAGAGTGAGCAGACCCATATGCCCCTACTCACCTCACATGCTTTTTCCACTCCGTTAGCCAGACGACAACCATAAAACACTCCGGACGTGAGTTGTGTTACATGTGTGACCTTAACTTTTTGTGGTTAGCCAATAGGTAATTCGACCAAGAAAATTATGCAGATCTATTTATTTGTAATTCAGAAATTTTAGATTCGACTCTTATAAATACAGAGTTTAGGGTCTCAAAATATATATGGGGCTTGGAAGGAGGATTTAAAAGTTGGTTACACAAGGTTAGTCCATAGCTGATAAGCGCTTCTTTAGTGAAGTCTGGCAGAGGGAATCTGTTTAGACCCAAAATATTGGTTTGGGCCGAGCACTAAATTGTTCTCGGCCCAAGGGCCGTACTTAGGAGTCATTGAGGGTCATCCAGTTTATGGGCCACATAGCCAAGGTCGACCGTGTATTATTAGGAACCCATGGGTAGTTGAATCCTGATACGAGACGGAGTTTGGATAAGATAAGGATGTTGGAGTTTGGGATTGAATCCGGCTTGATAACGGGTTGAGTTCAAAGTCCTAGTAGGAGCAGGACTGGCCAAGATAAGGAGGGATCAAGGAAAGGAGTCCTAATCCGAGAATGGTTGTGATTCGATCGGAAGCAGGTTAGCTACTATAAATAGGGGGAGGAGGACATTATTTAAGCCCCCTCCAATTCAACACACAAATGCCTTGCGCAAACCTCGCTTTCGCAAAACTTCGCAACAGCCTTGAGATTTTTATTTTCCTTTCCCACCGACACACCTTCAGTTTGGATAAACAGCATTGTGGAGGCAACCGACGAACATCTTCAGTTTAGATAAACAGCACTGTTGTCGTAGAGTTAGCCGACCAAGAAACACATTCAGTTTGGATAAACAGCACTACGACAGGGCCGACTGGTTATCTATCCAAGTCTCGGTTGAGAAGGATTTTCGAATCCTTATTAGCATAGGTCATGTCACAGCCCGTCCTGAAATAATTTATTGATGATGTGAATTGACTATTTTACCATTGGATGTGAGCGTTATGGTGTGTTATGCATGTAAATGGGGGTCCAAACTTGCGTTTTTCCCTAAATTTTGGAACAAATTGGAAATGAGTTTTTGTGGTTTTGGTTGGTGACCCACGTGGACCACACACACACACACAAACCCTTCATCTCTCCTCTCCCGTGCTCTCTCCCTCAGACTCACTCTCTCTCTTTCCCTCACGTACGGACGAACACCAAACTCACACTTCAAGCATGGATCGACGTCAAGAAGGTAAGATTCGAACTCCTTGCATGTCCCTGATTTCATATATGCCATTTTTAGGACTTGAGACCTTGAAAAACCCAAGAAACCATAACCTCCAATTTGAGGTACTATTCATGCAAAAATAAAATCTCATGTTTTGGGGGATTTCAAGCCTATAGATAGCTTAAGGAGGTCCTCACGAGGCTAGGAGTGGTTCGTTGGAAGATTTTGGACGTCGGAATAGCGAGAATGACGAGTTTTAAGTTTAGCCGGATTATCGAGGCTTTTTCCAACGAGTTTCCAGCGGTTTCAGGGCTTGACTCAGGTATGGTTTGGTTCGTCTTAGTGAGATCTTTAAAATAGTTCAAGTTTCATGAAGTTTGGTGTTAAAACGAGAGAGATATAAGGTTTTGAAAATTAAACCAAAAACCGGCGAAGTCACCGGCGTCCAGTGACTCATCAGAAAAGATGAAGGTATATTCCGTCAAAACTAACAGAATATGCTAACGGCGTTGGATGACGCCGTTAATAATTAATGGTATATGCTACCTTTTTAACGGAAGTTATTAGCTAGTTTTGTAGATCACGTTGGTATATTCAAACACCCCATTTGAGCAATGTATGAGAAGTTATTAGCTAGTTTTGTCTATGTGCTTTAAATTAACATTTTTATAGTTGTTTCGCATATAGGGGAGACTTATCCTGAGGACGAGCGCGTTCAAGGGCGACTTAAGGGGCTACAACCCTTCAACATACCAGTGAGTGGGCTTTTGGTTTTCAGTATATACTTATATACTTGATAATTTCCTAGAAAATGCGTTTAAATGAAAGTATGCCTTGACTTCCATGCAAATAAATTTATATTTCGTATATGAATTGGTATATAATGCATATATATAATTGTGGTGCTGTGGACGCTCAGGTAAGCCCAGGTGAGTTATGAAATATGAAAGTGAATAACGGTTGTGATTAATTGAGAAACTTAGACTCATAAAACTGCACCTAGGGTGATTGTGATTTAGCCAGAGATATGGCACAGGCCTATTTATAATGTCACCTCCCGCACCATATGCTCACATTGGATCCAATTTAGGTGCACAGTCTTGTCGTACAGATCTTTACTAGGGTTCCGACTCATATGTGACTAGCGATTTATTGCCCAGCTATTATGAAAGAATAGTATTAAGCATAATTATATTACACCCAGTATTGTCGTACAGACCTTTTCATTTGGTTCTGACTCGTGTGCTGTATAGTGCCGTATAGGTCATTGTAGTGACTCCAGCTAGATTGACTATTGAGCTGTGAATTTAGCCGTACAGACTTCCACAGGGGTTCCGGCTAATATGTTATTTTCCATGAATGTATTCTCACATGAATTACTTACTCTGTTATATCTTGGCATGGCATACTATGATTATGAATATGTGACGCATGATTTGAATTGATATATATATATATATATATATATATATATATATATATATATATATATATGCATATCCTTATATTTTATTTCTGGGAAAATATACATGTTTTACGGCGAGGGGTTAGAACTTTTGAGAAATGAAATGGTTTGTAAAACATTTGTTTTTGCCCACTCACGTTTTCTGTTTTGCACCCCTCCAGGTTTTAGGTAACCTAGCTATTGGTGGCCTTGAGGATTTTGGCGGTTCTGACATAATAAATAATTGTAGGACATCTTATGGTATTGTATAATTAGTACTTGTCCTACGGGACTGCACTTAGACTTTCTATGCTCTGATTATGAGTATTTACTTTTGTATCTCACTCCTAACACTTCCCGTTTATTAGTGCACTTTATTAACTTTTGGTTTTTAATTATTTGTATATTCTTATCCTCATTGCTTCCGCATTGTGCATATGGCTACGTCACCCTTACGTGACGGTCAACATGCCTTAATCTCAGTCGGGGTGTGTCAGGTCATCTCATCAGCCTTTTCGACAAAATGAAGTGTTACTAGGGCTCGGCACATTGAATGCCGAGTTAGTTTTATGATTGGATACTCACAAGTAGGCTTTAGAGTTCGGCATTCTGACGGCCAAACCACATTTACCATCAAGACATATATCTGTTTTGAGTATCTATGCCCCTATACTTTGGTGTCGATTCGGCGTGCTTATACTCTTACGAATATACTCACTGTGACCGAATCCGGCGCTGACGATTTGTGAACTTCGCAGAACTAGTAGCCTTGTCTTCAGGCTCTAAAACCCAAAGGTCGGGATGTGTTCCTTCCTCGGCCGCAGTCGCAAGATCAAGAAGTCAGTCACACACCTAGCGTAAAATCAACCCATTTTACTCATCAGCCAAGTTCGGTTGACGAGTTGGCACGCTCGCATACAACCGAATGACGTAGTTAGCTCATTAGTTACTCAGCCTGTGCGCCACGTAGGCCTGGTAGTTTTTAGGGTCAATAGAATCTCATACCCAATTCTAGGTACCAAGGCTAAATCCTACTATAAGGACATTTTGGGTTGGATGAATTCGGGGATTGAGAGTGGATATGTTTGTCGGCCTCCCACTAGATGATGTAGTCATTCAGAATATTATGTCTGGATTGTATGAAACCCTCGCAATCTTCTTGGTTCCTCACTCGAAGAAATGGAGGCTCGAACAAAGTATGGTAATTTGGGTGAGGGGTAGGATAAACATCAAGAATGGCAGTCCTTGTTTTCGTCGAAAATTTGGAGAAGAAAGCCAAAAATGGGATTCAAGTTTTATGGAGGTTTTTTTGCACATAAAAATGAGAAGGAGAAAGGAGACGTAAAAATGTAGTTCTCGTTTCTCATGCACACACAATATGGCGTCCCTTCATCATTGATGTCTTTATGGCATGACTCAAAGTTGCATGCCTAAATTTGGAACGTCTCAACGAAACTGGATGGACAGGTAATGTTAAAGAATTCCAAATGGTAAGTTATTCCAATCTACCCCAAAAGGCATGGTCCTTGGTAACTATTCATCCTAAAAGGAACGCCGTTTCCGAAGCATAGTTAGGCACATTTGTTAGACCATGATTTTTATTGAACCATACCGGTACCCTATGTTAACTACGATTATTACTTTCTTTTGTAGGTGGTTGACCTCGCACTCTCCTCCGTCCGAGATGGTGCGGAATTTTGGTTTCAACATAGCTCATTGTACGGCTGAGTCCAAATTTCCACCTTTTCTCGTCGATAAAGCTCGCCAATAAGATATGAGCGCTTACGAGGTTTTTCTCTTTTCTAATCACGCACATTATGTATAATTTACATATTTTATTGCATTTAATTTTGGGAATTGTTATTGGCACTCCAAAAAACTCATCTTGCACTCCAAACTTTCTATAATTAGAAAGGAAAATACACTTGTGAGGAGTGTAGAAAGAGATTTTTGAAGTGCTAATAACATTTCCCCTAATATTTATCTTTTTAAGTTGTTTCCCTTATATTTTATTTAATTATTTTTCTTCAATTAATACCATTACTTGCAAGCACAAAATTTTAAAGATTCAGAAATATTTCTAAAGTGCCTAAAACTAAGTATTAACTATCCTTATATCCACTATATATTGTAAATATAAGAAATGAAAAGTTTGAAATGAAAATTTAATTTTTATGATTTATTTTCCCACTCTTTAATGTAAATG